GAGAGGGGATTTCAGGAAAAGGAACTAGGGTGAGGGCAAAACTAAGAAGGCCAGAACCAGCTCCCTGGATTGAGTAGTTAGGAGGCCACGCGGTGGTGTGAAGTCCCTGGTCTGTTAGTGGAGTGGTAGAGGCAGAGTGGGAATGCGGGGATCCGGGAGGTGAGTTGCTCTCCTGGAGGCAGAGGAGGGGCGAGCTCACTTGACAAAGCCAGGAGGATGGAAGAAGGAAGGTGGCAGAAGGGGCTGTGTAGCCTGTGCAAGTCACTCCGTGTCTCCATTGCCCCGTCTGTGACACAGCAGTAATCTTATTTCCTGTCTCTTAGGGTTACCCTGAACTTTAAATGTTTGTGAGCGCTTGGCACAGAGCCAGGTATTTAGTAAGTGCTCAACAAATGCTTTTTATCATTTATTATTGAGAACTGACCATGTCTGAAAGCAGAAGGGGAGAAGATGATGACAGGGAAAAAGGGGATTATTTTGGGACAAGGAAAGAAAGCTCTGAGCTCTGACCATCCCCTCACATGATTAAGTGTGTGACAACTCAAACTTAGAACTGTCCAAAAATCTGCCTGACTGGCTGACCCCTTCTGAAATTTCTTGGTAGCTCTGGAACAGCCATTCCATTAAATAATAGCTTTTTATTTTTTTACCTGAAATCTGTCTGTATCTTCCTGTTTCTTAGTTATTTTAATCTCTGCGCCAAGCATGGAAAACCCAGCAACCTGGGTTTTATAATTAGATCCCATCGATATGCCCTCTTATCTCGGTGCAATCCCTCCTTTGGTATTTTTGGATGTCAGTGCCAAGTTCATCTGTGTATTTTAACCAGCCAATATGCACATCCTGTGATCAGAGAGGTTCACACCATGTGGGGCATCAGGCTAGTCTTGGACTTTGTTGAATTTCCTCCACGTCAAACTCTTTCCGAATGCTCCATGTCCCTTGAACTGCTAGATTTATGAAGGTTCGCCAAAACATGTAGCTAACTAAAAAAAAGTATGTTGCAGAACAAGATATACGATATTGTTTCACTTATTTAAAACACTTTCTCCAAGATATATATATATATATATTTTTTTTTAAAAGATGACCGGTAAGGGGATCTTAACCCTTGACTTGGTGCTGTCAGCACCACGTTCAGCCAGTGAGCAAACTGGCCATCCCTCCCTATGTGTGATCCGAACCCGTGGCCTTGGTGTTATCAGCACCGCACTCTCCCAAGTGAGCCATGGGCCGGCCCTCTCCAAGAGATTTTGACTTGATAATTAAAAAAAAAAAAATCCTAAAATTATATATGTAAGTATATTTATGCCCAGCTGCAAAATTAAAAATTACAAGAATATGCATCGGAAGATGCAGATTCTGATGCTTGGCGTCCACTGTGAGATTCTGCACTTTTAATACTGTCTCAGGTGATGCCCATACCACAACATCGTACAATGAAATTTCCTGTGATGGTGGAAATATTCTATATCTGCTCTGTCCAGCGCATTAGCACTCCTTTCAATAAGGGGGAGCAGGATGGGAGATGGAAGAGCACAGGCAGGGCAGGGAGGGGGCAGAACAAGGACAGGGTGCATCGGAAGATGCAGATTCTGATGCTTGGCATACAGTGTGAGATTCTGCACTTTTAATACTGTCTCAGGTGACGCCCATACCACAACATCGTACAATGAAATTTCCTGTGATGGTGGAAATATTCTGTATCTGCTCTGTCCAGCGCATTAGCACTCCTTTCAATAAGGGGGAGCAGGATGGGAGATGGAAGAGCACAGGCAGGGCAGGGAGGGGGCAGAACAAGGACAGGAAAACAGGTGGGCTCACTGGATCCCTAACATCTAGTGAGTGCCTGTTATTGGCAAGGCACTGTGCTGGGTGCTTTATACCTGTTGAATCAATTTCCCCTGTTGTTACACTAACATGGCACATTTGTAACAATTTTGAATCAATACTGATTTATTAGTATTGATTAAGGCCCATACTCGATTCAGATTTCCTTAGTTTTTTCTAATGTCCTTTTTTCTGGTCCAGGATTCCATCCAGAATACCACATTTAGTCGTAGTGATTCCTTAGGTTCCTCTGGACTGTGACGGTTTCTCAGACTTTCCTTGTGCTTGGTGACTTTGAGTTTTTTTTTTTTTTTTGTTTGCTTGTTTTAAAGATGACCGGTTAAGGGGATCTCCACTCTTGACTTGGTGTTATCAGCACCACGCTCAGCCAGTGAGCAACCGGACATCCCTATATGGGATCCGAACCCGGGGCCTTGGTGTTATCAGCACCGCACTCTCCCGAGTGAGCCACGGGCCGGCCCGGTGACTTTGAGTTTTGAGCGGTACTGCTCAGGAATTTTGTAGCCTGTCCCTCCATTGGAATTTGTCTGATGCTTTTCTCATGATTAGAGGGGGCAGGGATTCCTCTTTCCCTGCTTTCCTCATTGGGAGGAAGTCACTAAGGAAGACACTAAGTGGAGAGTTACTCTCCACTTCTTTGAGGGCAGTGTGTCCACGTACATTTTTGAAATGCATCTGCACAGGAGATTTGCTTATTTTTCCTCATGTATTTGTTTATTCAATCACCTAATTATATTAATATGGACTCTTGAATATCTATTTTATACTTCAGGTTATAATCCAATACTACTTTCTTATTTTGCTGCTCAAATTGTTCCCCAACTTTGGCCATTAGGGGTTCTTTCAGTTGGTTTCTGTGTCCCTTTGCTGTGCCCCTGTCCTTGTGTGGTGTGCATGCGTGTGTCTGTGTGTTTTAGTGCTTTCCTACTTTCTGGCTCTACAGATGCTCCAGGCTCATTGTGTGCATTTCCTGCCCCTGTCCTAGAATCAGTGGTCTCTTCAAGGAGCTCTGGTTCCTTTCACTGGACAACGGTATCAGAAACAAACCATAGATCTAGCACTTGTTGCTACCGGTCTGTCATTGCTTTTAGGCCTTCTCAGTGGAGAGAGCAAGGAAATGTACGTGTATACTAATCCATGTATACACACAAATCTAAAGATACTCTCTCTCTCTTTCTCTTTATATATATCTACTATCTCTATGTAGCTGTCTGTCTATATGTGTGTATATATACATGTGTACATGTATATAATGTATGCACACACACATATGCATCTGGAGGTTTTTTGATCAAAGAAGAAATGATTCCGGCTTTGCCTGGGAAAAATCAATCTCACAGCAATGAGAAGAAATAAATGATTAGTTAAAATTAGTTTCACTCCATGTTTTTCTTTTTTTTTTTTTTGTCTTTTTCCGTGTCCGGCAACGGATCGCAACCCTCAGTGT